AAATTACAGTTGGAGACACCTTTTTTTTTTTTTTTTTTTCCCCTTCAAATATTACAAATATAAGCTGAATAACAATTAACTGAAGGCTCTCAAACTTTCATTGAACTTCTTGAAGAAATAAGAAGCCCCATGAAGTATTACCATTTTATCTCCTTGGTTCATACCAAAACACTCCCATATAATGTATTTTTATGAAATATTGTTCAATCTTATTCAACGTGTACCAAATCATTTTAAAAGAGGCTTTCTTGCGGTAATCAACATTTCATAAAAGAGAACTGTCCATTTAGTTGGAAGGCCGAAAATTTTTGTTTCACCTTTCAGCTTCCTGATCGATCTTCCTCGACAACTATCTGATTTCACTGAAAGAAGAAGGAAAAACGTCGAAAAATGTGTAGAAAATATAGCACAATCTCACATGAATGTCAAGGAAAGTAATAACTTGAAATGTGTTCACATTCTACTTTATATTCAAAATAGTCCTCAAAAATATTACATGTGGGAGACTAGTAACATTTCAATACTATTTTCCTTCCAAGCTTAACAGTACCAAGAGATTGTTGAAGCTTCAAGTTTTTCTTCCCCCGTATCAAGCACATTATCAGTTCCAAGAACGCCCACCTCCAAAACCTCTCCCACGATCTCGGAAACTTCCATGACCTATTAATAATACAGGAAGAAACTATTTGAAGCAGACTTGAGATCCATTAAAATTTAAAAGTTTCTTTTAAGCATATTTTTGCTTCTAAATATGGTTACTTTTGAAGTAGCTCTATCGATATGAATTACTGATATTCAAAATTGACCAATTAAAATTTTATTAATTGTCAAGCTTACACAATAGCTTATTTATTTTTCCAAACACGTTCTCACAAAAAGATAGAAGAATGTGTATATGCGTGTAAGGTTTACCTGGAGGAGGAGGTGCCCCACGTCCCATGGCTGCAAGCTCAGGACTGACCTTCTGTCCAGCCTCCTCGAGGATGCTAATGAGTTCCTTTGCAAATCGGGCATTTGCAACTGTGAAAAAAGTGTATGCTGTTCCTTTGGCACCAGCCCTTCCTGTTCGACCAATACGATGAACATAATCCTCGAGAGATCCCGGGAAGTCATAGTTGATGACATATTTCACATCCTTCACATCTGCCAAGTTCAAAAACAAACTATATGGAATAAAATACTTCCTCCTGTAGTACTCCAGTTTCAAATTTATGTCGGTCAAGCCTTTTTTACCAAATCTCAGAATCAAATTCTCCATACAAACCTTAAAATTCACATTTGGCCAGTTTGAAACTAAGGTAGAATTACACCACAGAACAATTCGAGACACAATGTGACTGCACAAGAGCATCTGATACCATAGTAGTGCAATCTTCCGAGAGACAGCAAATGGGAAAAAAAAATAACAATGGCAGAGGAACTTTAGCTAATGATGCTAAGCATCAACAGAGCATATCTTGCCCACTCAATTAACATTGAAATACTTATAACACCACCCATTCATCATCTAAACGGTGGAAATTTGAGTGGGTCGCAGCACAAAAAAATGTTATTAAGAAAAGGCAAAATGGAGAAGAAAAAAGTTACTAGTTGCGTAACTTCTAATTTTTAAGAGTCGGATAAGACTTGTTTGGACTGTGCTACATGCAGGAAAAGAAACCCCATCAGGAAACTTTAAATTATATTACTCCATATAATGTTTCCCCTCTTTAGGGAAAGAGTATCCATAATGGAAAGGAACAATAGAAAGATGAGACACTGAAAATTATGTTTTCTAGGGGGGATTCTGTGGAAATCAATCTAAAAATTCTAGGGTTTTTTGAGCCCCATTTTTTGGGAAAATAAATTGTTATAGTGATTTTTTAAGAATGTGTGGTTAAAAAGTAGGAAAAAAATTGAATTTACGTGTAGAATTATTTTATCGGGAGAATTGTGTGGTTGAAAATGAGTTGGGGGAAGAATGGGGCTCAAACCGGGGCTTAAATTTACCAGGGAAGAAATTATCTAATCTAGTACTACCTAGATCTGTATATATATTTAACAGACATGAAGCCAACAAATATTTAAAAAAAGAAGCCACTAAAGATCATGTAACCTTTACTTTGAGAGGCATAGACATACCTAGACCTCTAGCTGCAACGTCAGTTGCCGTCATTATGGGACTCTTGCCAGCCTTAAATTCTGAGAGGACCCAATCCCTTTCTGCTTGACTTTTGTCTCCATGAATAGATAATGCAGGCCAACCATCCATACGGAGCTGCCTAGTTACTTGATCACAGCCCTTTTTGGTGTCCATGAATATCAAAATCCGGCTACCGTCCATAATGTCCTCCAACAACTTCACTAATCTGTATTTTTAAACAAAATCAATTTGAACTATGAATCCAACATACAGGATACAAATATTAAAGACTTCTTCCTAAAGTATAGAAGTGCAACCAGAAAAGAGGCGTTGGCCTACTTATTATATTTTTGGTTCTCAGAAACAATTTCAACAAGCTGGCGAATTGCATGATTGGCT